TTATGACCAAAAAGGATCATAATCAGGATGGTCTACTTCCCCATTATCTCCTGTCACAGTCCCCTACCCCTTTTGTGCTCCAGTCACTCTGGTGTTGTTTTTCAAGGTGCCATTCACTCTTTTCCACATCAAGGGCTTCGCACAAACTCTTCATTCTGTTTGATCATCTTTCCAGCCTTCAGATATCAATTAAGAACAAACTGTTCTAGAAGACTTTTCATAATCCCCCCCCATGCCAGATTAAGTTCCCTTATTATATATTCCCTTATTATATGTACCCACAGTTTTAACATTAGGAATGCTTAGGCCAGGCACAGTGGCTCATGCCTGTAATTCCAGCCATTGGGAGGCTAAGCTGCATGGATTGCCTGAGCTCACAGGTTCAAGACCAGCCTGAATCAGAGGGAGACCTCTTTAAAAATAGCTGGGCATTGTGGCGGGCACCTGTAGTCCCAGCTACTTGGGAGGCTAAGGCAAGAGAATCACTTTAGCCCAGGAGTTTGAGGCTGCTGTGAGCTGTGCCACACACTCTACCAAGGGGCGAAAAGTGAGACTGTCGTCCCTTCCAACACTTATATTATTCAATGTCTAGATTGTGAAAAAATAAGCTCTGTGGACATCCACATTGTCATACCCTAGTTTCTAGCAGTGCCTGACCTGTGGTATGCTTTTTATAATTGATTGCTGAATGAGCTTCCTGTTCTGCCATTGGAAGACTTCATTCTTTCAAGATCCATCTTCATCTTTCAGTTTTATTTGAAGAAGTTTCTGTTCAATTGAACGGTATTTCCTCCATCTATCATCTGAATGTTATTCTCCCACTTAGAGGTTTTATGGGTCATCTTCCCCGTTACCATTTCATCCTCCTCTTCCTTCAATTGATTGACTTCTTTTATTCATTCAAGCCTTTCTCGTCTGGAAAGTTCCCCTGAGCTGATCTTTGGCTCCCTCTAGCTAGCTACTGAGGTATGCAGTGTTCTGGAAATTATTCTATGTCTACTTCCTTATTGTCTTTGAATCCTTTTACACCACAATAATCAATCTCTCTTCTGTCCTTACCACTCAACCAAAATTACTACTCTGAAGTCATCAAAGACCTCCAAACTATTGATTCTCAGTGGCACTTTCAGTTTTAATCACCCTGAAAAATTGGTTATGATTTACTCTTTCTACATGGAACTCTCTACTCCCAATTTTTTGACACTGCTCTTTGCTGGTTTTCCTCCAATGACTGGCCATTCTTTCCTCTTCCATGCCTCAAACATTGATGTTCTTTCATAGCTCTTAACTTGACCCTATTTATTCCTGAAATACAACATGTCCGTAAAGTTCGTATACAATTTACTATGTCAAACTATTTTAAACTGCACACAAATTTTATATCCATCCGGTATAGTTCCTCCTGCAGGTATTACAAATCGTAATGAACACCTCCCTTTCGTCTCTCAAGCACGAAACCTGACTTCTTACATTCTACATTCTCCCTAGTCAAACCCTACTAATGTTGCCTATTTCTCATCAGCTCCTTCCTTTTCATCTGTACTGACAGAGCCCTCAATGTCATTTAGTTAGAATGATCCAGCAGCCTAACTGGATCCTCTAACTGCCTAACTGGTTGCCCCTCCCAACCATCCTCTGTATTGTTGCTAGTGATTTTTCTTTTTCTTTTTTTTTTTTTTTGAGACAGAGCCTCAAGCTGTCCCCCTGGGCAAAGTGCCGTGGCATCACAGCTCACAGCAACCTCCAACTCCTGGGCTCAAGCGAATCTCCTGCCTCCGCCTCCCAAGTAGCTGGGACCACAGGCGCTCGCCACAACGCCCGGGTATTTTTTGGTTGCAGCCGTCATTGTTGTTTGGCGGGTCCAGGCTGGGGATTCGAACCCGCCACCTTAGGTGTACGTGGCTGGCGCCTTAGCTGGTTGAGCTATAGGCGCCGAGCCGCTAGTGATTTTTCTGAAACAAAAATGTAATCATCATTCCTCTGCTTAAAACCTACTGGGGGGTTGCCCTCCGTTCACAGGAACAAAATCCAACTTCTAAGCATAGCACTTAAGAACACTAGTATAATTGCTGTGTATATTTCACTCTGAAACTCCTTCAAAGTTTTTAAATGTCACACTCTCCTACGTCTTCTCTACTGTCACGAATGCTGCCCTCTAGGAGGACTCTATGAGTCCTCTAGAGTCTAGAGGACTCTAATCTCCTAGACACTTTTGGCTAACTTCCTCTCTCAAATGCCAGCTCAGACACCATGTCTGCTCAGTCACCTTTGTGCTCTCTCCATGTTTTATCAGATATTTTGATTTCCTAGTAGAATTTTTTTTTGTTTGTTTTTTGCAGTTTTTTTTTTTTGGCTGGGGCTGGGTTTGAACCCACCACCTCTGGCATATGAGGCCACTGCCCTACTCCTTCGAGCCACAGGTGCCACCATAGGAGTGAAATTTTTAAGTATTATCCATTTAGGTAACATTTATTGGCAGGATAGTTATTGTGGTGGTTTGTATTTTGTTGACTCAATTAGGCTGAACTACATTTTCCAGAATACTCTTCTGTGAATATTCTGGTCACCAGGAGCCACAAGAAATTCTTAAACATGATCTGGAGGGCGAATGTGAAGCTGCAACTATTTTGTAGCTCTTAATGCCTCTGTGTTGACTCACAGTTATAGCTGGGCGTGTTCATCCTTTCACTGATCATTTGGTGTCTCTGACGTTTAGACAGGTGTTTGTGATGGACTGGTGATAAAGGACCACCTCACTATCAAGATCAGAGATAATAAACTGACAAGGGCTTCAGTCTGTGCTTGTGATTTCTACTTGTTCCTACTGTCTCCCACTAACATCCATCTTCTTTTCTTACATACCTGCCCTACAGACTTCAAGCTCCAGGATCAAAGAGTGATAACAGTATTATAGGCTACTTAACTAGCTCCCATAATAGCATAAGGTCAAATTCCTTATATACAGTATATTCCAGCAGTTCTGCTTCTCGGACTAACCCCTGATTTGATTGATACACATAAGGAAGGGAAATGATGAGACTGATTAGACTACTTAAAATGGTGCCTGCTGCAATTTCAAACATCTATGTGATTATCACATATTCTTTTTAGTAATTTTTTGAGGTAGGAAATTTTATCTATGACCAGTGCAGTATGTTGCCTAGCACACACTAGGTGTTTTATAATTCATTGCTAAATGAGTAATTTGAATCACCTCTGCCAACCCAATCTAAATAGAAGGAAGAATTAAAAAGTCAATCTGATGTCTATTTTAGATCAGTATGTGGAGTGCAGACTGAGCCAGCAGAATCCCCGCAGCCTAGGAGATGCCTTTAGGGAACGACCCCCAGCTGCTTCTCCCTTCCTAAAACAATAGCCCTTTCTCCTTGCTCCCACTGCTTCTGTACACTTTCGCTTCTGTATACTTTCTGTATACAGGTCGCTTCTGTATACTTTCCTATCTTTTACTTAACAGCACAAAGCCGCCTCTTCCTGAAGTTAATCTTTACCCCATGTACTAAGACTCACATCATTTACTTATCCAGTTATTTCTCCTCAACCTTATAAGATAAAAATATTCCCACTTGCTTTCCTTGCTAATTTGCAATATTGTTAATATACACAACCTTGTTTAGGTACTATATAAACAAAACTGTTCACACTGTGCTGACTGTAGTCATCAGGTGCGCCAGACCTCCTGATCGCATCTCTTTATCTTTGATGCAATCTATGCCTCTTGTGTGATTTATTTTCTCAATTCCCTGCCATTCCCCCTCTGGCTTATTTACTCTTCTGGTTCGTGAAATCAGTAATTAGCTATAGGCAAATATTGAATCAAATGATTATTACATAAATTAAAATCTTATTGCTATCAATAAATATTGAATCAAATATTAACATAAAACTTATGAAGTCAATGAAAATACATATTTTCAAATTTCTTGTGAAACATACTTTCAAGTTTCTTGCGATACATATTTTCAAATTTCTTGTTTATCTAAGTAGTCCATTTGAATATATAGCCAGGAGTGGAACTGTTGGACCACAGTTATTTCTAATTTTTTGAGAACTGCCACTTTGTTTTCTTTTCTTTTTTTGAGACAAGAATCTCACTTTGTTGCCCTTGTGCCACGGAGTCACAGCTCACAGCAACCTCAAACTCTCGGGCTTAAGCGATTCTCTTGCCTCAGCCTCCCAAGTAGCTGGGACAACAGGCATCCGCCATAATGCCTGGCTATTTTTTGTTGAAGTTGTCATTGTTGTTTAGCTGGCCTGGGCTGGGTTTGAATCTACCACCCTTGGTGTATGTGGCTGGAGCTGAAACCACTGTGCTACGGGTGCCGAGCCAGCCACATTGTTTCCATGGTAGCTGTACCATTTCATATTTCTACAAATAAGGATTTCAGTTTCTCCACATGCTTGCTAATACTGGTTATTTTCTGTTTTTGATAGTTGTCTGGATTCTTAAAGAGTGATCGTATTACACATTGAGTCCAGATTTTCTGGAGGAATATAGCTAATATAATAAAGTCAATGAAGCATTTCCCTTGGTTTTTTTTTTTTTTTTTTGAGACAGAGCCTCAAGCTATCCCCCTGGGTAGAGTGCTATGCCATGGCATCCCAGTTCACAGCAACCTCCAACTCCTGGGCTCAAGTGAGTCTCCTGCCTCAGCCTCCCAAGTAGCTGGGACCATATGGGCTCGCCATAATGCCCGGCTATTTTTTGGTTGCAACCATCATTGTTGTTTTGGCAGGCCCATGCTGGATTCAAACCTGCCACCTTAGGTGTATGTGGCTGGAGCCTTAGCCACTTGAGCCACAGGCGCCGAGCCTCCTTTGGTTATTTTAAGAGCACCCAAAAGCTTTAAATTTCTCATAAACCTATCATCAGCTAAAAATAGCTTATCCTGGCCTCACAAACAAAGTATTAGTTAATGACATCTTTATTTTATACCCATAAGACAAATGCTGAAACATTTCAGAAAATTATGCAACCTGAAAACCTTGTTCCAATTGTCATTTTATTGCAAGATGGTGGAATTACAAATTTAAATCATAACTTGGTAACCTTTAGTTAGGCAGCACATTTTAACAAAAGCAAATCTTTTATTCAAAATTAATTACGTAACAACTCAAAACACATAATAGAAAGGGTGAGAAACATCTAACTGGCCAATAGATTTAGTTCTTTCACTATATGAAAACGCAAACTTTTCCTGTTTAGGAAAGGTAAACTGTAACTTCAGTATAGACAGAAATGTGGAAAGATTTTGTCACACTGACTAGTTTCCTTTAATTGTTTCTAGTTGTCTCAATTGGGAAAGATCCATTTACAGAACTGGCTGTGCTTTCGCCTTCTTTGCGAGCAGCTTTAGATCTGCAATGCACTTGGCAATTGTCTCCTTTTCCTGTGATAAGGAAAGAGAAAGCTGGTTAGACTTTTCCCAAACACAGAAGGGTCCAAACACTAATTCTAAAGAACATCTTCTACCAGACCAGAACCTCAAAGTGATTTCTGGCTTAATATGATAAGACTACTAGAAAGGTTTAGTGGTAAAATTGATTATTTAATCCAGAACACATACAATTTATTTTAAGCAAATCCAATTAATTCTCTGGGTTAACAGCTTTTATGAATGAAACCTGTACAGAATTTGAGGACAGATACTCCTACAACCATAAGCCACTCATGTTGGCTCGCACAGCTAACAGCTGCTTGAAAAAGACCATCCTAAGAAACATCAGTAATATAGAAATGTTAAGAATGAAAGTAATTCTAGTTGATTTTCTGTACTTTCCAAGTTTCTTAAATAAGCATGTATGTTACTTTAATGCAAAAGACAGTTTATTTAAAAAAGAACAACCCATCAAACTTTGATAGATCCTATTTTTCCAATCCTGTATAAGTTAGCCAGAAAATGACCAGAAATGCTTAAAGATACTATATATCTGGGAAAGAAAAAAAATGTCTTAAGAGGAGGAAATGGAATGGAAATCATGAAATTAGGAAAATGCAAGGAGCTTAGAAATAGCCTCATTCAATTCATTTTACAGAAAACTTAAAAATATGTTGGCTAATGTTCCCCAAATTATGGAAAAAACACAGGCCTACTACAACCAGTGTTCTCAACAATCTCTCCACTTACAGGGCGAGAGCCCCTTTGGTAATCAAACTTTGAGGAAAGCTGTCATGGCAGTTGTGCAGCATCTTCTAGATTATCATTATCCAGAAAAACAAACCAGGGTCTCACTGCTGACTGTAGGCTAAAGACTCCTTGCCAGTTATTCCTATCTTAACATCAGCAGATGCTTGTCAGAGATACCAATACGACTCAGAAGCCATAAAACACTGTGTACCTGCTGTGCAGAGATGCTCTGTACCACGTGCTTCTCTACCCAGTTTATCATGTGCTCCTGTTCCTTTCGACGCATCATATTCTGCACAGATAAGTGATAGTCCAGGCGATTCTTCACCTCCTTATATACTCTATGTAGTCGGTCCCGGTAAGTAAGCTCCAAGGCCATAGCGATGTTATTCTGGGGCAAAATTTAAGAAATGGTGAATACTGTGTGCAAACTTGAAGGAATACTTCTGCTCTAAGTGTCCCACTTAGAGTTAGAATGCCCTAACACTCCCTTGTATGTGAAATTATTTTCTTTATCATAGATAACACAGACATCATAAAAAATTACAATAGCATTTAGTAAAAATGTGTATAGTACAAAAGGAGTGTTCTTAGGCCTGTCCCCACACCAACTCTCTTTGGTCACTATCTTTCTGGATTTCTTATATCCCTCCCAAAAATATTTAGTAGACAAAGTATAGGTATATGTACACACATACATACATATCTCTCATTAATTATGACATGTAAACCTCAAGTTACACTGGATTCCACTACATTAGTGTTCCATAATTCATTTAATCAAGTTCTATTAATAGATTAGGTTGCTTCCAATATTTTCTACTACCAATGATGCTGCATTATGTTGTATGTTTGTCTTTGCACTGATGTGTTAATACTTGCTGAGTTAAAGAATAGCTAACATTGTTGAGTACCTATTTATTCAAAGCACTCTTCTGGGTGGCTAATGCCTATAATCCTAGCACTCTGAGAGGCCAAGGTAGGTAGATCACCTGAACTCAGGAGCTTGAGACTAGCCTGAAAAAAGCAAGACCCCAACTACTTAAAAAATAGAAAAATTAGCTGGGTGTTGTGGTAAGCACCTATATAGTTCCAGCTACTCAGGAGGCTGAGGCAAAAGGATCGCTGGAACCCAGGAGTTTGAGGTTGCTGTGAGCTATAATGCCACAGCACTCTACCCAGGGCGAGAGAATGAGACTGTTTTAATAAAACAAAGAAATAAAGGCTTGGCGCCTATAGCTCAACCAGCTAAGGCGCCAGCCACGTACACCTAAGGTGGCGGGTTCGAATCCCCAGCCTGGACCCGCCAAAACAACGACGCTGCAACCAAAAAACAGCCCGGCGTTGTGGCGGGCGCCTGTGGTCCCAGCTACTTGGGAGGCGGAGGCAGGAGACTCGCTTGAGCCCAGGAGTTGGAGGTTGCTGTGAGCTGTAATGCCACGGCACTCTACCCAGGGGGACAGCTTGAGGCTCTGTCTCCAAAAAAAAAAATTAAAAAAATAAACAAACAAAAAAACCCACAGAAATAAAAATAAACAAAGCACTGTGTTTAGATTCAATTAAATCTTATAACTACACCATGGAATAGTTACTATTACATAATTATAATCATTTAGGTGTGAGGAAACTGAGGCAGAAGAAACTTGCCCGAGGTTACAGAGTTAATAACTTGGGAAGCCAAGATCTGTATATAGCCAGTTATGTTACAAAGCCCATACTCTTATTAAGTATTTCTACTTGGCTAACCCATGGGAATCTCAAGCCAATACACACAAAACTAAAAGGTATTTGAAACAAGGCAGAGAAATCCTTTAATGTAAAAGTGAGGAATCAATCCTCTGCTTAAACACTTCCAAATGGCTTTCTCTCTAAAGAGTGTAACTTGAAATCCTTACAGAAGCCAATATATAGCCCCTGACCACCCTCTCTACACCTTGCCTCCTTTTATTCACTCTTTACTTTTCCTTGACTATATATATTAAACCTTCAGGTTTAGGGAACTTGAAATTGTTTTCCATTGCCTAGAACTTATTTCCCCAGAAATCTACATATCTTGTACCATAGTTCTTGTAGGCATTTGCTCAAATATCACATGTATCAGATGTGATATTTCCTGACTGCCTTATAAAAATAATTCTTTTCCTTTAATACTAGTTTATTGTTCTACTTAGTATTTATTACCAGTTGTCATTCACTTCTATTCAATATAGGGTGACCAGATTTTAACATCTGTAAGGTGGGACAAGATGGCGCGGGGGCGGCAGGGCCTGACAACAATGCAAACTTTGGTAAGCAGTTCTGGATAATCACTTCTCAGCAATTATTTATTACAGTTTAACATTGTAAAATTAACAAAAATAATATAAAACTCATATTCTGGTGAAACAGCCATAAGGCGGCCAAAAACTGTATATTCCCTTCTTGTTCTCCAGCTGGTTCATACATTCTTTCCAAATATTGGGACTTTTTAAAAATGCCGGGATGCAGGACAAATTGTTGAAAAGTGGGACTATCCCACCAAAATCGGGACATTTGGTCACTCTAATTCAATAGAAACTGTTTTGGTCTCAGTCATACTTTCAGTCCCCTGTGTTGGCTAGAGTATTTATACAGGAAGAATTCAGTAAATATCCATTAAGTAACTATTTTATAAATAAAACCCCACATGACTATTATTTGACTCTCATAAAAAAGCTACACTGCCAATTTGGTTTTTAAAAAGTCAAAATTGGCTCAGTGCCTGTAGCTCAAGCAGCTAAGGTGCCAACCACATACACCAGAGTTGGTGGGTTGGAATCTACCCTGGGCCTGCCAAACAATGACAATTACAATAACAACAAAATAGTTGGGCGTTGTGGTAGGTGTCTGTAGTCCCAGCTATTTGGGAGGCTGAGGCAAGAGAATCACTTAAGCCCAGAAGCTAGAGGTTGCTGTGAGCTATAATGCCATGGCACTCTATCCAGGGTGATAGCTTGAGGTTCTGTCTCAAAAAAAAAAAAAAAAAAAAGTCAAAATTTACAAGTGTGTATGTAGTATGTATGAAGCAGGAAACTTTCTTCTGTTGTACCCTAAATATGCAAAAGGCTTTAACATTTTCTGAGATTTTTTATTTACTTATTTTTGAGATAGAGTCTCACTTTCTCATCCTGGGTAGAGTGTCATGACACCATAGCTCATAGCAACCTCAAATTCTCAGGCTCAAGTGATCCTCTTGCCTTAGCTTCCAGAGTACCTGGGGGACTACAGACGTCTGCCACAATGACTAGCTAGTTTTTGTCTATTTTTAGTAGAGACAGGGTACTGCTTTGTTTGGGCTGATCTCAAACTCCTAAGCTTAGGCCATCCATCTGCCTTAGCCTCCCAGAGTATAAGATTATAGGCATGAACCATCATGCCTGGCCCATTTTTCTGAAATTTTCAAACATTCATGGTGCTTAGGAGTCTTTAGTGATCTATTTAAAATAATACAAAAAAAAAATAATATATTCTTGGATAGCTCCTAATAGAGATTCTGATTCCACAGAATCCTTTTGTTCCCCTTCCAAAGCAACAAAAACTACACCAAAAGTAACTGTGATGCATGTTATTGAGACTGCCCTGAGAAAGAGCCACCCTAGATCCTTAATATTTCAAATATTTACTCTATCTTACCATCTTACTTTTCATTTCATAGGTGATTCAATACATGTATAAGAGCCTTACACTTTAAAATATATTAGTCATAAAGCACTAGGCTCAAAGTAAAGATAGTAGTAACAAAATACTTGAACATGTTCCTAAAGATCATTTTGGAAACTAAATTTAGACTCCAGTTATGCTTTGACCATGGTAAAAAGCTTTACTGCTATCTGAATTTGCTTTGAGAATTCAGAATGTATAGTATAAACATTTCTTACTGCAAATACGTATTTTAATTATTCCTAATTTTAGAGTAATTCCAATTATGTTTTCACTCAACAGTTCTTAAAAGTCTGAATAGCTGTAATTGCCAAATCTTTTCTTCTCTATATCAAATAGATTGAACACAATCTACTTAACCATTCCTCCTAAGAGATTTGGAATTTTTCTTTTTAAATGCATGCAAATGAGTAATTTTATTCTCCTAGAAACTTCTAAAACCTACCCTCTGGACATCAAAAAGGTAGTGCCGCTTCTGAACCAGGGCCTGCTGTGACTTCTCCATATCAATAGCATCCTGGATTTGTTTGATGGAAGATTGCTTCACCTCTTCTAGCTGGGCAAGTTTTTGCTGCAATCATGATTATCAATAACAAATATCAGTGAAAACACCAAGGGTAATAAAAACAGATTCATTTTATGCTTCCTCAAAGTTGTATTTCTCATTTGTAAAAATTCTAAGAAACATACACAGAGAGAAATGCAGACTCTAAAAAGAATTACCCATAATAGCTATGCAGTTTCTTGCCAAATGAACTGTTAAATAAATAAAAGCTCAAGGTTTTGTAGATAAAAATTTCTTTAAAATAGTAATTAATACTGACCATTATGATTGTAATCATTATAACACATAAATTTCTACTTGTTCTTCCTCCAATGCTCATAATCACTATATGGCCTTGATGTTTCTGCTAGCTTAAAATGAGGAAATAGGCTTATTGTACTTACCTCATTGAGTTTATCAGCAAATTCTCCAATAGAGGCACCATATTTTTTAACTATATAGACAAATAATCCTACTATTGATATGGTAGAGAAGGTCTCTGGGGTAATCACATATATTTCTTTGGATAGAGCATACAAGATAAGTCCGGTTCCGAGCACATAGGGTCCTATAAGAGAGAGTTATTTGAGGAGGATGTGCTATGCCTAAAAAGGGAAAGACAGATACTTCTGCATTTGGTTAGGCAAATGTTAAGTAATGATTTTAAATAATCAGATTCAAAGACAAAATACGGGATTGAGAAGTAGTATGGTAGAACTGAAAGAACAAAGATCTGAACTCAAGGAAACCTGTATCTTGACTTTACAACTTATAAGAAACAGAGCAATTTAGATAATCTTTGAACTTAGTTTCCTTATCTGTAAAATGGGAACAGTACCCTCTTCACAGTTTGACAAAATAAACGTGTGTGCGCACATGAAGGTAGAAGGAAGAATTTAATATCAGGATTCTCAACTCCTGTAGCACCTAAGTGTAACATTTCAAATTTATCTTCTCCTTTAACCAGGCCATGAGTTCTGAAAAGACAAAAGCCATGTTTACATTTCTTTTGGATTCTCCTCTGTGCCTAATAAGATGTTAGGAAGGGTCAGAGAGGCCTCTAGGGCAACATTTTATAGTATTTCTGAGAAAGGCTAGTATCAAAGAATGGTAGGATGTATTATGAGAATAGGGTTTCAGTGTTAAATATATTTAACCCAGCCTTTCCCATACAAAATTTCAACAGTTTTTCTTTTTAAACTGCCTATAACATATAAATTTTAAATGTGAATTTGCAAGAAAGGCTTATCACATTTTTATCACCTATAGAGATCAGAGGACACTCACATTTCTTGCAATTTCAATTGGGAAAATGCTATGCTAAGGTTGAAAAAAAAAAATCTTTAGTTTTCAATGTTCCACGGTTACAGTAGTATACCTGGGTAGAGCAACAAAGGCAGCATGTGTAGCAGAAGAATTCTAAACTTAACTGGGATCTAGGTTTAAGATTGTATTAATCTCCTTAGTGATCTAGCTCAATCACTAAGGAGGTTAATACAATCTCAGCAAATCGTTTGTTTTCTAGTTCTCCTGGGTAATAAGAATGTCTTCATAAGACTATTATAGGCTCGGCGCCTGTGGCTCAAGCAGCTAAGGCTCCAGCCACATACACCTAAGGTGGTGGGTTCGAATCCAGCCCGGACCCGCCAAACAACAATAATGGCTGCAACCAAAAAACAGCCGGGCGTTGTGGCGGGCGCCTGTGGTCCCAGCTACTTGGGAGGCAGAGGTAGGAGACTCGCTTGAGCCCAGGAGCTGGAGGTTGCTGTGAGCAGTGAAGCCATAGCACTCTACCCAGGGGAACAGTTTGAGGCTCTGTCTCAAAAAAAAAAAAAAAAAAAAAAAAAAAAAGACTATTATGAAGATTAAATAACATAGGTAAAATCCAAAGCATTAAAAAAGCAAAATTTTGAAAGCTCATGCTGTTTTTTAAAAAGAGAAAAACTTATGAAAATGGTTCAGTTGTGCTCACATCCATAAAAACACAATAGTCTTTATCACTTTACCTGACTTTATTTTTGTCCATATCTCCTTTCACTATCTTATAGTATATTATACAATTATTCACTTCTTTATTGTTTATTCTACAATAGAATGTAAGTTCCATAATGGCAAGCACTTAACATAGTTCAACACTGCATGCTTAGAACATCGCCTGGCATAAAGCAGGCATTCAATGGAGCAAACATTCAAAATCTTTGGTGTACAGAGACAATGCTATAAAATAAAGTTAAAATCCCAAGCAAACTTATACCAAAGACAAGGTGGAGCAATCACCTCAATTATTACATTGAATTACTTCAACAATTCCCTTTTAGTGTACCAAATATACCATTTACCACCAAAGACTAGGCAAATGCTCACCTGTTACACCAGTTTTAGGATAAAGAAACTGGAAGAATTCCTCAGGGATCAGACCAAAACGAACTTTTCCTCCATATTCAGGAAGAGGTGGTAGAGGGGCAAGACTTGGCTGTCCAGTATGAAAGATCCTTGTTGCCTGTAACACCCTACAGGTAGCAATTGCAAAGATTTAAAACCTATTCTTTAAAGAGAACAAATGTAGAAACAACTAGCAAAAACAATGAATGGGGCTGAGGACTGAGGCAGTTTCCTAAAACAGACATAATGGAAAGAAAATGGACTTGGAAAGGGAAGGTAAGGGTCTAATAATCAGCTGTGACAAGGACAATGACTTAATCAAGACACTTAAAGTCACATGCAACCTTCTAATACTGGAATCCTTTTTCTAAGTCTCATACGTCATCTGCTTACCACCTTGTTTACCTATTATCAGCACTGAAGTATATAAGAACATGGACTCAGGCTCAGCGCCTGTAGCACAGTGATTACGGTGCCAGCCACATACACGGAGGCTGGTGGGTTCAAACTCGGCCTGGGCCAGCTGAACAACAATGACAACTGCAACAAAAAATAGCCAGGCATTGTGGCAGGTGCCTGTAGTCCCAGCTACTTGGGAGGCTGAGGCAAGAAAATTGCTTAAACCCAAGAGTTTGAGGTTGCTATAATGCCATGGCACTGTACTGAGGGCGACACAGTGAGACTCTGCCTAAAAAATAAAATAAAATAACAAAAGGACTCAGCAGTCAAATTCCTTAGGTTCAAGTCTGAGACCTGTCACTTGACTCTGAGTAAGGAACTAATTAACCTTTTGTTTTAGATTTCTCTCAGTAAAATGAGAATATAAGGGTTGTTGTAAGAACCATTTTCATATGTGTTGATTCAACACATATGAAAAGTGCTTAGCCCAGTGAAGTTCTATGTAGATGGTTAGCTATTATATGCCAGCTGTGTTGTAAGAGAAGAACTTTGACCTTTTCGAATACTCCCTTTGATAGGGTGTTAATCACTATGTGTTAACAGGCCTTTTCAGTATTGGGGATCTCTGTAATTATATTCATCTTTGAATTCAAATTCAGTTGCTATATGTCTTGCTTCTAATTTTGCTTTTTTTATGTATAACACTCATGAATCTGGTTAAACACCTCATTCCCTTCCTTTACAATCCTGATTGTCTACCACAAGGACTTCTTTTTCTTTTTTTTTTTTTGAGACAGTCTCACTTGTCACTCCCTGCTGTGGAGTCACAGTTCACAGCAAACTCAAACTCTTGGCTCAAGCGATTCTCTTGCCTCCCGAGTAGTTGGGACCACAGGTGCCCGCCATAATGCTTGGCTATTTTTTTTAGAGAAGGGGTCTCGCAGGTGAACTCAGCCAATCCACCCACCTCAGCCTTCTAAACTGCTGAGATTACAGGTGTGAGCCACTGCACCTGGCCAGGACTTTTTTTTTTTTTTTTTAAATGAGGTATACGGGCCAAGCGTGGCTTATGCCTGTAAGCCAGCATTCTGGGAGGCCGAGGAGGGTGGATTGCCTGAGCTCATAGGTTTGAGACCAGCCTGAGCAAGACTAAGACTCCATCTCTAAAAAAATAGCTGGGCATTGTGGCGGGTGCCTATAATCCCAGCTACTAGGGAGGGTGGGGCAAGAGAATCGCTTGAGCCCAAGAGTTTGAGGTTGCTGTGAGCTATGACACCACAGCACTCTACCAAGGGCAACAAAGTGAGACTTTGTCTCAAAAAAAAAGGTATACAGAACTGAACAACACTCGAGATATAGTCTGACCAATTCATTCCTTCTACAAATGAGAACTTGCTATTGCCAGTACTAGGCTTGAACCGTAACACTATTATCAACAGAGGATTTGTAAACTATTCTGCTATTAAAGCAGACTAAGACTGCATTTTTACTGGTTATAGCATACTGATGTCTCATTAAGCTTCTAAGGAAATAAAATCTAATTTTGTTCATATCTGCTGTCATGATTAGTCTCCTTTGAGTTCCTACTGTTTCTGTCCCACTTCCTACCCTGTTCTATCTCTATCCCCTAGAAATGTAAGATTTTACATTATTTTTATTGATTTGGGTATACTGTTTACCTTCTGGATATTATTTCTGCCTCCAAATATATTATACCCCACCAAACTTTGAAATCTGAGCATCATGCTTCAGAGTTCTTCATTATATTAAAGTTTCTCAACCTCAACCCTATCGACATTTTGGACTGGATATTGTGGAAGGCTGCTTTGTGCATTGTAGAATGTTTAGCAGTGTTCTTGTTGCCTTTACACACTAGATGCCAGTAGCACACCCAGCTCCCAAAATGGTGACCATCAAAAATATCTCCAGAGACTGCTAAATATCCCTTGGGAGGGCCAAACTGCCCCAGGTTACTACTGATTTAAAATCACAGCATCAAAGGATTTGCTTTACTCTAACACAAATCCTCTCCCCAACTAGCTTAGTTCAAGCCTTCATTTATCCCTTGCATAAACGAGTTTAACAATCCAAAACCTGGTGTCTCTGTTTCTCTTCAAGTACCCCTTAAACCTAGCCCCCTCACATTACAGCCAAAGTTTCTAAAATGCAAGTTTGACTTGAAAACTTCAATAGGCTCTCTCTGGCCTATGGGAATCAAACAATATAATATACACGATCCAGTACCTATCAAATTTTATAACCTGATCTTTCTTTATTCTCCTACCCTCCAGCCACATAGAACTACTTCACAGCTTTAAAAAAAAATTTAACGCCAGGTGCAGAGGCTCACACCTATAATCCTAGCATTCTGGGAGGCAGAGGCAGTGGATTGCCTGAGCTCTGGAGTTTCAGATCAGCCCGACCAAGAGTACAGTCAGATGTTATGGCAGGCAACTGTAGTTTTAGTTGCTTGGGAGGCTGAGGCAAAAGGATCACTTGAGTTAGAGGCTGCTGTGAACTATGATGCTGTAGCACTCTACCAAGGGTGACAAAGTGAGACTCTGTCTCAAAAAACAAACAAACAAAACAAAAAGATGCCTCAAGCTGCCCCTTGTCCGATATGCCCTTCATACCATGACTGCGTATCAATGACTAACAAGCCAAACAAGCCTAAAAACATCTCACACTCCCATCCTTGGTAAAGGCCTCCCTAACATTGGGCTAACATTCATTCATTCATTTAATCAATATAACATTTACTGACTTTCAACTTATGCCAGGCACTAGGAATAAAACCCTAGCCTTCAACGCTCTAGTGCAGCGGTTCTTAACCTGTGGGGTGCCACCCACGGAACTGTAGTAAAGGGTTGCGGCATTAGGAAGGTTGAGAACCACTGCTCTAGTGGGAGTTTGGGAGTGTGCATAACCATACACAATTTTAGGCAGCTGGTTAAGTGCTATGAACAGAAATGAAGCTATGTAAGAAAACAGGGAGCAAGAGAATGGAGAAAAGAGTTTTTTAGAAGGTCATATGACATTTGAGCTAACCACCTGAGGAAAAGAGAGAAGACAACTAGAAAGATCCTGAGGCGAGAATGAACTTGACAGTTTCCAGAGGAATAGCAAGGTCAGTATAGTCGGAGAATGAACTAAAGAGAACAGGAGATGGAATCAAGAGGTAGGATGGGATTAATTCACATTGTGCCTTCTAGGTTATGCTAAGTTCAGCTTTTATTTCAAGTAGGATGGGGAACTCTGGAAGGCTTTAGGTCAGGGGTTTCAACCCCCCCCCCCCCACACACACATTGGAAGAATCAGTGTTGTCTTGGGCCACACACTAAATATACAAACACTAGCAAAAGCTGATGAACAAAAAAAACGGCCTGTGCATACTTTCCATGGTATCTAACATCACAGACAAATGTCTTCACAAAATCAGCATGCAGCCTATAGACCACAAGTTGGACACCCCAGTGGCAGGTGAAGAATTGATCTATCCCTCTGCCTATTCTGAGAATGGGCAGTAATGAGACAAAAACAGACTAATGAAGAGACTATTGAACCAGCCTAAATGAAAGCTGGTGGTAGTTCATACTTTAGTAGTAGTGGTAGCAGTAATTAGAATTTAGATTATAATCTGGACAAAAAGCCTTGCTCAGTGAAATGTAGTGTAAATGAAAATCAAGAATGTTCCCCTTTATCTTTTATATATAGTTCTTTTTTTTTTATTACCTTTTCTTATCTTTTATATTTATTACCTATATTACAATTATTTGTTTACATGTCTATGTGGAGTCCTTTTGGAAGCAGTCAATTTATAGCCTAACTTTATGGCATACAAGAGACTTAATTACAGATAATTCACTTTTCTGGTCATAGGACAGTTATCAAATTTTGCAAGTTTTAAGACTAAGCTTGGAAGTGAAAAAAGAAATCTCCAAGAAAGCTGCCATGTCTTATGTATTTTAACAGTAACAGCTGCTAATATTTACTATACGCACACTATCTACCAAGTACTGTCTTTTTAGAGTTTCACAGGAATTAAGTCTGTTAATTCTCATAACCTACAGTGTCCTATTACCTCCATTTTGCAGATGAGAAAACTGACATTACACAACTACTAAGGGTTTGTTTGGAGACTTCACTCTAGCTGCCTCCACTCTTAGATTGTGAGCTCCCATGACAGCAGGTACTTAGCCTTACTCATTTTTGTTTCCTTATTATGTGGGTGGCAAGACATATAATTTACTGAATCAATGAATGCTTTCTCTAATTCTTATGATCTGCCAGTAAAAAGTAGGAATCTGAGAGACAAACTGAAAACAATTTGCTTCACTGTTTTATTTAACATAATTTGTTCTTTGCAGAGTCTAATAACTCTGATTAGAAACGTGGCTACTATGCCTAGCTGAAGGTCACAGGGGAGAGGGGAGGCCTTACAAGACAGCAAAACCAGTTTCTAGCTTAGTTAGAACACATTACTTACCCTTAATTTTTGCTATTGGCGACGTTCCTGGTAGTTACAGGAACAAGTGTTTGAATCATTCCTAAAATTACTTGAAGAAAGGAAATTTCTAGCCTAAAGCTGAGGACGTAACTAAGAAACAAAATGAGATGATAGAAACAAGGGGAGCATTACACTCCTCACACTTACCCTGGACCTAGAAGGGCTGAGTTCTTCAGAGAGGCGGCTGCAGATACACAAGGCGCAGGTCAGCAACGTCAAGGTGAAATCGAGTTTGCCCCTGCGTCGTCCCTGCCGGGCCCAAGCTCTACTCCATGTAGCCCTCTTTCTCGTTCCCCTAAACCCCACGCTTCCTCCCGAACCTGGCTGATTACTCCCCACTCAGGCCCAAGTGTCTCTGCTCCTTTATCCACCCCATACCCGCCTCTATGTCCCTCTAGACTCGCTTCCTTCCAATCACCCTGATAGCCAGCCTAGGCTTTACACCCCTCACCCGCTGCGGCGGAGGCAGAAAGTACCACTCGGGACAGCATGGTCAGCGAAGGTCCAGGCAGCAGTCTTAGCGTCCCTGTGACCCTGACCGGAGAATCGGTCAGGGGCAGGAACAAGATGGCCGCTCGCAAGTATCGCGAGAGGAGAACCTGTATACCTTTTTTCTTCAACTTTCGACGGGAGGTTTCTTTATCTCGCGAGATCAGGCACCGCCCACTGAGAACCTGTTGCTGTAAGGCGGCCGTCAGAAAGCCGTTTGGAAGCCTAAGAGCAATTCTCGCGAGATGTAGAGTTGCCGTAGCCTTAGGAGAGGGGCGGAGGTCTAGAGGTGCACCACGTGGGGGTTGCTGCGGGATCTGAGTCTCCTGCAGGCTTTCAATCTGGTTTTAGGTGGAAGTTGGAACCGCGGAAATGCGGAAGGAAACTCCGCAGCCCCTAATGCCCCCGGCAGCCCGCGAGTGGAACCTTCCTCCTAATGCTCCCGCTTGCATGGAACGGCAGTTGGAAGCTTCGCGGTACCGGTCCGGTGAGCCCAGACCTCGGGCCTAGGAGCTCCCTCCCACTGGCCCGGGGCGCCCCTTCTCGGGACTGACCCTCCCAGCCTGCCCTCGCCCCGCATGCTATCCTGACCCCTAGGTCGCGTTGCTGAGCTGTCCGCAGTCTCGCTCTCCGCGTTCCTTAGCTCTTATCCACATGTGGCCCGCGTGCTGTTCTGTGCGGTCACCATGGAGACGAGCCCTTCCGCTCCCTAGTGAGCTGACAGCTTGTACTCTTGTAGATGGAGCGCTTCTGCTCGGGGCCTCCAGCCTGAGTGGGCGTTGCTGGGCTGGCTCCCTCTGGTTTTTTAAGGATCCTTGTGCCGCCCCCAACGAAGGCTTCTGCTCCGCTGGAGTCCAGACAGAGGCAGGAGTGGCTGACCTCACTTGGGTAGGGGACAGAGGTATCCTAGTGGCTTCCGATTCAGGTAAGTCCCTTTCCCCTCCTTCCCTGGTGGAATGGAGCCTTGAGATACAGACAGATAGGGCTGGGCTCAATCCTTAATGTCCCATACTCATTGCTTGAAGGAGTCTCAGAGTGTTGGCCTCAAATGCAAACTCTCGTGTAAATGGGAAATATGTTTTCCAAAATTCTAAATTGCCTGGTAGGATTTCCTAGAAAAATCTGTAACAAAATTAAGAAATGGATTGGAACCAATTTTCTTTTATATAACCTATCCCTGACCCTGCAGCCCACACCAGGGATAATATTGATCTTAAAGATGATGCTGAAGCCAGTCTATCCTACCTGTCTTTTCCAGTTTCTTCCCATTTTCTTCTTGTCTTCATTCAGTTTTCTTAGTTGTCATTGTCAGGCTCCACCAAGACTTTTGCATTTAAAAAAAAAATCAGAAATTGGAAGTTGATAGGCGTTGCATGGAAGTTTAAAAATCGCTTTTTAAAAGATTGAGCCTCTCTGATAATTGAGCTTCAAGACAGCATGAGGGGGATGTGTTCTATATTTACCCTGTCACTGTGCAAGACAAGTCAATTCAATTTTTTTAAAAGAGATTTTTGAAGACATTTACTCAAGTAGTTCAGAAAATATGAGTGTCCAAAGAATTGGGCAGGGTTGACATCACTGTATTGTGTGCTTAGACAGTTGTAGAGACTTCATTCTTGTCTCTCAGAATGGATTTTCCAGTGTTATCTCACTAGAAGCAGGTTGTACCATTTTTCCCTGTCTTTTTCTAGAAGGTTTCCCCACCTAGTTGTGTGTGCTGTCATTCAGGAAATAGTAATACACCATAAAGCCAAAAGGCTTGGGAGTTAGCTAAATCCCATAATGATGTGGACTAACTTAATTTATTAGCTTAGTGACAGTGACTATTTGAATCCTAGAGGTGAATTATTGTCTTGGTACAATCTAAGCTTATATTTCTCTTGCCTCTCATCCTATCCCTCGTCTAACAGGTGCTGTTGAGTTGTGGGAGCTGGATGAGAATGAGACACTTATTGTCAGCAAGTTCTGCAAGTATGAACATGATGACATTGTGTCTACAGTCAGTGTCCTGAGCTCTGGCACACAAGCTGTCAGTGGTAGCAAGGACTTCTGGTGAGTCCCCGTTCTCAGTGCTTCTGTCTCTGGGCCTCCTGTAGCTGTTCTTACTATCCTGTTAACCTTATTAAGTAATCTTTGGCTTATTATAAGAACACAGAGACTATTTATGGCACATCTCTAACATTTCTTTAGAGATTTTGCAGTTCCTTGTAAGTAGACCATAGTAGCAGTCCAGAAGGCAAAGACATGGGACATGATGGTTAAAGGAAGTTCTTGTGTTTTTATGTTGATAGTGTTGGTCAAGATTAAGTGTCTTTTACCTTTTACTTCTTAGCATCAAGGTTTGGGACCTTGCTCAGCAGATGGTTCTGAATTCATACCGAGGTGAGTATTCCTTTTTTTTCAGTTCTGGCCTTGGTGGTTTTATTTGTATTTTCCCCTTTGAGTCCTCAGGACTTTATCTGGATCTTAGGAGCAGCAGTTCCATTTTCTTCTGTCTGATACTTTTCTTTAAAAACTGTAGTCAGTCTCCAATATCTATCTCTTATCCTTTCCCTGACTTCCCAATTTCTACTGATGGTCTTACCACCTTCTTAGCTACACAGCACTGAAACTTTTTTTTTTTTTCTTCCATTCCTCATGCTTCTCCACTATCAGTCTTTGAGTTGCTTTCCACTTATTTGGTCAGTCACCTTTTAGTTCCATTTCTTTTTTTTTTTTTTTTGAGACAGAGCCTCAAGCTGTCCCCCTGGGTAGAGTGCCGTGGCATCATAGCTCACAACAACCTCCAACTCCCGGGCTCAAGCGAGTCTCCTGCCTCCACCTCCCAAGTAGCTGGGACCACAGGTGCCTGCCATAACGCCCAGCTATTTTTTGGTTGCAGCCATCATTGTTGTTTGGCGGGCCTGGACTGGATTCGAACCCTCCACCTTAGGTATATGTGGCTGGCACCTTAGCCACTTGAGCCACAGGCGCCAAGCCTAGTTCCATTTCTTGTGCCCCATTCACTTTCAGGCTTTACCTCACATAGATGGTGGCACTTACCTCTCCATCTATAATCTTTGGCTCTTTTGATCTTTCATTGGTTTCTTGTGGCTTGTGGATTAAAATCCCATTTTCTTGTCACACCAATTAGCCCTCTTACCGTCATTCCGTATTCAAGCACATTGTACTAACTTAACCCAGTCACAGTAGATCCTTTACATCCTCAAGGGATAAACCCCAACACTTGCAAATCTTGACCTTTTGAATTTTACCTTCATTAAATATCTATTTTTATGGCATGTTTATAATAGTTCATCTTTCTGCTTACTTTCACTACCAGTGCTAGCATTTGACTTTATTTTGGAAGCCATTCTTTGTGAAGATAATGTCTAAGCCTTAATATGTGTGTGGCTATGAGATTTACATGTACTATACTTGCCTTTTTTTTTTTTTTTTTTTGAGACAGAGTCTCACTTTGTCACCCTTGGGAGAGTGCCGTACAGCTCATAGCAACCTCAAAGTCTTAGGCTCAAGTGATTCTCTTGCCTCAGCTACCCTAGTAGCTGGGACTACAGGCACCTGCCGCAATGCCTGGCTACTTTTGTTTAGCAGACCCAGGCTGGGTTTGAACCCAGTAGCCCCAGAGCATGTGGCCCGCGCCCTAACCACTGTGCTATGGGTGTTCTCTTGCCTTCTACTTCTTAGACGTACAGTCTTTCCTGGTTAATGCTAACTCTTTTTCAGCCCTTCTCCCATTGGCCTTTTCTGTTACTAATTTGTGCTTGTGTCCAATTCCCTCCAATGAATTCCAAATCCTTTGAGGGTAGAGAACTGTTCTTCATCTTCTGTATACTGCCATGGTGCTTGTACAGAGATAAAATTTTTTTCAAGTAAGCAATTCCTTTTCTGACTTGTTATCCTGTTGGCTTTCCATACCTTCTAGGGCTAGGAAGGAACTGTGGAAGGTGGTGTAGTTCCATCTTTCTGCCTCAGGCTTGACCCATATGTCTGAATTACTGAATTACTTGGAAGGTCTGGTTTGATGACTCTAGATAAGGTGGTTTCCACAGCCTCTAATTAAGATGTAGCAGTGGTTTTCAAAATTTAAGTAGTTGCACAGAAGATATGTTACACGCCACTTACTGCACACTTATTTTAAGCATGTATTTGTCAAAATTTTGGATTTTCAGATTAAACCCATTTAATTTATGCAAAATGTTTTACCAAATAGCCTAATTGGCAAAAACCAATCTGCATTGTTAAGCCAGTTAGCCAAATTAGACTAAATTTTCTGTCAGAAAAAGTCTGACTTCATTTTTAAATTCAGACAGTTTGTTGGATATATCCTTATGGCAACCATCTGTCATATCCTTTAGTTCTCGTTATTAGACAAAAACAGAAGAAAGTCACATTGTGGTGTGACTGAAACAAGGTCAGTCCACTGAAGAGGATGTCTTTCTTTTGCTCTTTGGTTCTTAGGGAAAAGCCCCTTTGCCACTTAGTTTGGAACCCTTACATATTTTTATACCTATGAGCATTGTATCATAGGAAGATTTGGTATGCGTTTCTTCTATAAAGTGGGAGAGAGGGACTGTAGAAATGAGGCAGTTCAATTTTAGGAAAGAACATTGGAAAAACGGATTCCCTTAAAACTGTCAGTGCCTAGAACTCTCTCAAAAGTTTGGGTATACGTTAGGAGACACATTTATTCCAGTACGGAAACTGCTATTCTATAATGGAATTATTCAGTTCCTGCATTCAGGATGTTTGAACTGTAAATTCCTTTAGTATTCCTACTAAGTCCCTAATGTCTCCTTCATGGTTTTTATTAGTTCATTTTCTCACCAGCCTGTTTAGATTTAAACTGTTCTTAGGTTTTGCCTAATCCATAATCTCACCAAATTTGTTAAATTGTATCACGAGACCAGGTGCGTTTCTCATCCTCCTGCCCCTTAATTGTACCTGGGCTTGGCTTCTTATAATGCCTCAGCTTCTTCTCTGGTGTATGTCTCCTCTCTCCCTTACAGCTCATGCTGGCCAGGTTACTTGTGTTGCTGCTTCTCCCCACAAGGACACTGTGTTTCTTTCATGCAGTGAGGTGAGATACAGCTTCTTTTCCTTCCCTAACCACACTCCAGCCCTCAGTGTGGCACTCTTCTGGCTGCTAGCTGCTTCTTTGGATGGTGAAGCATTTTTCTATTCATCTTCCTTCTAGGACAATAGAATTTTACTCTGGGATAACCGCTGTCCCAAGCCAGCATCACAGATGGGTGAGTCTGAAAACCGGTGGTAAGAGTTGCACTAGGAACCCACCTGGAAGAGGCTTTCTCTGGCTAGAGTCAAATCAAAGTTGCCAAATGCCCAGTTAAGTCACTGTGACATAAGTGACATATTGTCCTTTGCCACTGAAGCTCTCCTAACCCCATTAAGTATTGAGAGGAAGGGCCAATTCCCAAAAAGGGAATTTACTTTGTTATATGGATGGACAGAGGGGCCAGAATCATGCCTCATGCTTCATGCTTGAGGTTTGCCTGTGACTCGTGTCCAGAAAGGGCAGGAAACCGGTACATAAAGGTGAGATTTTGAGGCTCAAGATTGAGGACGCTATTGCCATAGCAGGGTTTGAGAAACCAAATAAAGGTGCTGCTGGGATTTAGAGTGACATTGTTTGAGAAACTGCTTCTTCAGGGTTCTGAGTTGTTCCAGACCTCTCTTTTCTCCTTTGCAGGCTACAGTGCCTCTGGCTACCTTCCTACTTCACTGGCTTGGCATCCTCGGCAAAGTGAAGTCTTTGTCTTTGGTAAGACAGTGTGTCAGACTTCCCTTTGACTCTAGGAAGGGCAGTGATGAGAGAGAGAGAGCTAGCTCTGTGAATTATACTGATGGAGGGGTTTAGGGGTAGGATGATCCCAAAGTAGTTTTAGTTTTGCTTTAAAGAACATGATGTTTTTTCCCCCAGTGGATTCAATTGCTGATTCATTGTCCTAGCTTCTGTGTTCTGAGCTAAAAGTCAGCCACAAAGCAATTGAGTTGCTATGTAGGGAATTTCATTCTACTGTGGGTAGGTGTGGAACTATCATGGTGATAAGGCCATGCATATGGTGACATAGTTTGTGGTTAAAATAACTACTTCATTAATTTGATTTTCACAACCATCCAGTGATTTATTATTCCTACTTTGCGGAACAGGAAACTGATCTTCAGAGTTGTTAACTTGTCCATTTTTGAGGAAGTAGGGTTCAAATCCATGTCTAGCTAACACCAAAGTCTGTGCTCTTTACCACTGTGACCTACTACTTCTTTTTCCAATAGGTGACGAAAATGGGACTATCTCCCTGGTGGATACCAAGAGTGCAAGCTGTGCCCTGAGCTCACCTGTACATTCCCAGTGTGTTACTAGGCTGGTGTTCTCCCCACACAGGTAACTGTTTTTTGTTATCAGGGGCCTGGCAGGTATGAATGGGAAGAGTAAGGGGGATGTGTATTTTGGTAAAGTATTAGCTGGTTAGGCATTTCTTTAAAGCAGATAGTGCTTTAGCTGAAGTTTCAGAATGTCAAAGACCTTTAAGACCCTAATCCTTTTACAGGTGTGTAGTCTCTAAAAATGGCTGAAATCTGTCCTCATTCCTCTCAATACCCAAAATGATTAATATTGTAGGCTTATGGGACTATGAGGTTGGAAGTGCCTATATTTCTGGGTTATGGCTAAATCTGTAGAGAGACCAGATGGAGTGGTTATTTGCCAGGATGATTGTCAGCCTGGCTTTGCTTCATTTCGTCATCTTTCCTTGGAACTTATAATGTGGATTTGAGTGGTAGCCTGGCTTAGCCAAAAGTGGGAGTTAAGCTGCTTTCTTTGGGTCAGTGTATAGTGGGGATGGTTGTGGGCCAGTCAAGATTGTTTTGGAATTTACTGTTCTCTCCCTCTCCTAGTGTTCCCTTCCTTGCCTCTCTCAGTGAAGACTGCTCACTTACTGTGCTGGACTCCAGCCTTTCTGAGGTGTAAGTATGTAGTAGAATTCTGTGATTGGGAATCAGGGAGGGGGAGCAGCAGGTGGGCAAGCCCTTTTCCTTTTCAGAAAAATGCTTTATCTCTTTGGAGAGAATTCTCTCATCTGTATGTGAGGGGTCTGGGTGATGGAAGCAGACAGAGAGTTGGCTGAGACCAGTTTTCTTCCTGGGGTGATTGATAACCAGCTGTGTCCCTGGTAGAGGAGGAATATGGATGGAATTTCTAGGTCTAGCATTCCAGCACTCTCCCACAAGGGACAGTCTACCCTTTCTTCCTAAAGAGCCACTTATGTGAAATGCAACCTGCCATAGAGTAAAAGCCACCAGAAGGAAGGTGTGAGTTGTACTGTGCTCTTTGCCATGACTTGCTGCCTGATGCTGGCCTCTATCTACCTCACTCCATCTACCCTCTCTTCCTCTGTGAAGGTAAAGGAGTGGATTAGATGATTGCCGACATTCCTGTGGGTTGTGTCCTGATGATGAGGCCATGTAGATGAGGAAGAGTGTATAATGCACACGGAGAAAGTGCCTTGGATGTGCTGGGGTCTGCTTTTTCTTCTACTATGCCCCAACTTTTTTTTCTTTCTTTTAGGTTTAGAAGCCGTGCCCACAGAGACTTTGTGAGAGATGCTACTTGGTCCCCGCTCAATCACTCTCTCCTTACCACAGTGGGCTGGGACCATCAGGTCATCCACCATATTGTGCCCACAGAACCTCTCCCAGCCCCTGGACCTGAAAGTGTTGCTGAATAGATTGGATTTAAGACAAAAAGCAAGTCCCCCAATGAGTATCGGCCTCTTTGTGCCTGCCTCCTCAGCTTGGGAGATAACGCAGGAACCTTCTATAGTATGTTGATACACAAGAACTGTGTAGTTAATTGGCATTGTCTCTCAGTCTGAGGAAGGCTGGATTCTGGGATCTTGTAGTCACAGAGGAAAAACTTTTTTAAAAATGGATATGTATGTGTGTCTGAGTGTGTGTGTAGATCTATAGTTACTGGTGCGGGGGGAATATAGATATCCATCTCATCTATTACCTAAGCACTGTCCCACCCTCCCACCAAAAAAAGTTGATGAAAGTGTTTTATGCATCCCATGTAGCTATTTATGAGGAATTGGTCATGTCCGGCCATGTGGGTGTCCCTGGATTCTTGGAATCAGCTCTTATACTACTCATAGGGATCGATTTTATTTTCTTATGGTGCTTAAGTCACCATTACTATGGAAAATGCTTCCAATTAATAAAAATCCAGCCCACTTCACTTGGAGAAAGAGGCAGGACATGCTACAGTTTTATGTAACTCCTTGCCACTAACCTGAATCAGAAGTCCATTTTCTGGCTGAATAAGAAGTTAGGGTGGTACCTGCATAATGCCAGTCCATTCTGCCCGCTCCCTTCCCTCTGTTCCCCAGTGGAATTATATATCTGAGAGAGGAGTGTTTTTGTGTCATAGATGCCATAGGGAAAAATTTGGGGACAATGGAGAGGTTAAATAGTCATTTCAGTTAAGTTACAAAACTAGCACGAACTGTTACAGAGGAATCTTTACTGCTTTTCCCACCTGAAAACAGCCTGGGGCCTGACTTACCTGCCTCTGGTTCCTTTCCCTGGATATAGAAGGTCTGAGTGCTGTATTTGTAGACTCTTCAGGTTTTAAACCCAGTATCAGAAAGAGAATCAGAAATACTGGTTGGTAAAATAAAGAGTTTAGGCATTATTGGCTTCGGTTTTTTTTTTTTTTTTTTTTTTTGGTAGTATGTGTGTTAATGTGCAGTAAGACATTGCTCTTATGTGAGCCATCAGGGTGCCCATAACCCATAACTTTTTTTCCTGTGCATCTTCAGACTCCCAAAATAGCTTATTGGAATTTAAGGTGTAAAGATTTATTTATTCCTTGGGTTGGTAGAGTGGCTATTGCCAGTTATAAGACATGGATCAACTACTGATTGTATTGAAACTAAATATAATCAGGGATGGGCACGGGGGCTCACACCTGTAATCCTAGCACTTTGGGAAGTCAAGGTAGGAAGAGTACTTGAGACTAAGAATTCAAGACCCACCTGGGCAATGCAGTGAAGCCTACTCTATCAAAAGAACAAACAAACAAATAAATAAGTAAAATTAGCTGGTATGGTGGTGTGTGCCTGTCCTCAGGTACTCAGGAGGCTGAGGCAAGTGGATCTCTTGAGCCCAGAATTGAGGTGGCAGTGAGCTATGATCACGCTATTGCACTCCAGCCTGGGCAACAGAGAGGTCCTGTCTTTTTTTTTTTTGAGATAGAATCTCAATTTGGTACCCTTGGTAGAGTGCCATGGTGTCATAGCTCACAGCACCTCAAACTCTTGGGTTCAAGTGATTCTTTTGCCTCAGTCTCCCAAGTAGCTGGAACTATAGGCATCTGCGACAACGCCCAGCTACTTTTTAGAGATGGGGTGTCTCTCTCTGGCTCAGGCTGGCCTTGAACTCCTGAGCTCAAGCAGTCCACCTGCTTTGGCCTCCCAGAGTGCTAAGATTACAGGTATGAGTCACTGTGCTGGGCCAGCCCTATTTTTTTTTTTTTTTTGTTTGTTTGTTTTTAAAGGAAAGATAAGTAGTTATGTGCTTTTGAACTTTGTGAGTTTAATTTAGGTAAAATCACATTATGAAACTGGGGCAATTTGAAGAAATTTGGGCAAAATATTTTCAATTAAAATGCTCATGCTTCATCCTGGCCATGATTACCCTCTAGTAAAACATGAGAATTTGTTATATGATCTCATGGGGTTGGGGTAGTAAGGGACTAGGATAGGTATGTAGAGTCACTTAAGTTCTACTTTGCAGAGGTAAAACTTAAATTTTGTGGTCACTTAGAGAAAGGGGATGAACTGAATGGGAATTCAAAAAACTTTAAATTTTGTGGTCACTTAGATAAAAGGTGTAAACTGAATAGGAATTAAATTTGCACAGTCCATTTCCTCATTAACTTTATAATGGTGGAGAAAAGACTTACTGAAAAAGGTAAGAGTCCAAAGAAGTGTTTATGTGTCTCAAGGTGGTTAAAATGACATCAAAGAAAGAAAATGTAGCTTTTCAAAAACCACGTAATCTTTTATTATTAAAAAAAATGTTAGTTTGAATTCAGATAGATCTGTGCTGATGAGAATAATTCACTTTTATTAGTGATTGCCACCAATATATTTGTAAACCTAGTCAAAGTCACAGTTAGGAGTGGCCACATTTTAGATAGGTGTATATGTTACAGTGAGCAAAGATAGTTCAAAGTAGAAAGTGACCTCAAAATAATTAGAAATGTAATATCAAATGAGGTGGGTCACTCACTAGGTCCTTGACTTGAGTGTAGTGAGCGTGGACTTTATGGTGACAAGTGGAAATGGGATTTTGTTTCTTAAAGACAAATTATTTTGCATTTAATTTCACTGGTTCACATCTACTAATTGTTAACATTGGAGTAAATCCATTTTCCTATCATTGTTCTTACTCTAAAGTCCATTAACCTAACACTATATTTCACTGTTGTTGGCTGATCCACCAAAGTCTAGGATGTTCACTCCTTGAGTAATGACTGGAACCACAAGGGTATTGAAGGCATAAGACATTGGGCTGATTTCTAAGGTATCTCTCCTGCTCCACACAACAGTTGGACTCTGGTTCTTTAATAAATGGCTATACAGGCATTACCTACTTGTTCACAATCACATGTCAGCAGCAAATCACCCAACCTCTATCTGCTCTGGGCCTCAGCCATGTGTCCTCTGGACAGCGTGTTAGAAAGGACAGGAGATAGGAACCCTCCTGTATTTTATTTTTTAAGTTAGATTCAACTTTCAAAACTTTCTTCCCATTTCTAGACCTGCCAGTAAAGGACCCTGATATTTATTCTTGTTTGCATTTTGAGAGCATGAGTATTGTGTCTTTGATATTTCCTTTGTATTTCAGTAGGTGTCAGACTTTGTATCTGCAAACTAAATGAGAATAGAAAATTAGTATGTTCTAAGATACAATTACATAAGAATTTCAGTAGGATGTACACTAAATGTTTTTGTGCATTCTGGGAAGCTATGGCATCTAAGGACGCTCAACATACCTGAAAGAAGCTGAAAGAATTTCAGAATTTCTATCAAGTCACTGTAGCAAGCTGCTTATTGCCAATCTGTGGGTCATACTGAACACATTATTAAAATCATTTGTGCAGGAAGTTGATTATGTTTGAAAAAAGGGTAAGTGTGATCTAGTCTCAGTTTGAGTTAAAGTTTCTCTCAAGAACTTCATCAACAGACTACGTAATACAGTTTTGGAAAAGCAAACAAGGTAAGCAGACCACTCTTGGGCCCTTAACACATTTTCTTATTAAATTCTCCATAAAAAATAGGCAATTATGGAGGTTTTTGTCTTCATTACATGGTCACAGGACTAGTACGAACCTGGGGGAGGCGTAAATGTCTGGAGGGGAGAGGTTAACTCTTGTTTCAAGTTGTAGAGGCACAGTGATCTTTTATTACATAGTCTTTTATTAGTTGCCATAACATTTAATGTAATATTCCACTTACTATCTTGTCTCATAAATGACATACATTATCACTATGTAATGTACAGATCACCAAAATTCAAAAGATCACAAAATGAAGAGTTTAATGCCCAAACAACTTCAATGTTAAGGTGGGCTAGGCTGGGGAAAGCCTAGCCAGCGTAATTGAAAGTCCTTTCAATGAGTCTAGGTCAGTGGTTCTCAACTTTTCTAATGTTGCAATCCTTTAATATAGTTCCTATGGGTTGCAACCTGTAGGTTGAGAACCGCTGGTCTAGATAAACAGGGTGGTCATAAAGTTCGTGTGCAATAGTTGTAACTATTTAAATTGCACACGAACTTTATGACCACCCTGTATTTCACCTGTCCCTGTGATGGAGGTATGCCAGATTCCAGTTAAGCATTTCACTTTGGTAGACACTGTATCATAAGGATAAGAGATTTCAGTTGCAAACTGGTAGTAACTCGTATCTGAGGTTTCAACTAATGAAAATTGTATCAGGAAATAAACTGTGTAGTTATTGATACAAATTAAATCAGGTTCTGCAATCTCTGCAACTTGTCTCAGAATTAGAATCTGGATGATGTATGAGACTCTTTGAAACCATTATTCAACTTCAGTTTGCTTGGCAGAGTTAATGTTCATGCTGTCTTTGATGTAGGCACCCAGAGACAGGTGGTACCCAGAGGTAGGCTCTGTGCCCACCACTGTGTCTGGACCTGTGGTAATAAAGAGTCCTTGTAACAAGATTGACTTGGGGTCTATTTGATTTTTTTAGCTGTTTTTTTTTTTTAAATGTGGTAAAATACACATAACAATTTATTATTTTAACCATTTTAGGTGTACAATTTGGTGGCCTTAAGTCCATTTACATTGTTGTGCAGCTGTCACCACTATCCATCTCCAAAACTTTTCTGTCATCCCAAACTGAAACTCGTTAAACAATAATCCTCCTTCCCAACCCTGGTAATTACCATTCTACTTTGTGCTTCTATGAATTTGACTATTGTAGATACTTCAAATAAGTGGGATCATACAATTTTGTCCTTTTTTGTCTGACTTACTAGATTTTATAAGATGTTGGCTTGTTTCTCAAAGTATGGTCCATAGACCGGCATCATTGGCATAACCTGGAACTTGCTAAAAAACCAGGATGTTCACACTTAAATCCGAATTTACATTTTCAAAAGCTTCTCAGGTGATTTATGCATGTTAAAATTTGAGAAGCAATGACTTAGATTACCTATTGAGAATTCCAGATGGCTTATAAATGAGGTAGAAATCGTCAATCATTGAGTGGTGAGCAGTTATGGTACATCACACATTCTCAGGCCTTGTGTGTTTTGGCAGTGAGCAAGACAGACCTGCTTATCCTGCCTTCAGCCTCTTAGTCTAGGGAGAGAGACAAGATGGAATTCGTGTTTTTCACCACTTTGAATATATTACTTCTGCTGTTTGTAAGTCCACTGATAGTCTTCTGGGTGTTCCTTTATATGTAA